GCTTCGGCCGTGCGTAGACCAGTCAGCTTCCGGAGTGACTGGAGCAGGGCTGTTGTCCTTCTGATCCTCAAGCTTCTCCGGTGCTCCTTTTTCTTCAGGATGGTCAGCTTCAAGGGTGTAGCAGCATCTGGAGAGCACTCCCAGTCCGCAGCTGCAGGTGTGAGCCTGGTGTAGTGAATCCAGGGACCTATCTCTGCAAACTTTACTGCAGTTGGGGTGGATAAAATAACATTGAAAGGGCCCCTCCAAAGAAGTTTAGAGGCTGAATATTTCATTCTTTGACCCAGACTCAATCTCCAGGCTTGAAGAAGTGTGCACCTGGGTCAAATTCACTGACAATCTTTCTCTAACTCATTGGTTGAGAACCTGTATAGTTTTCCCTAAGACCTGAAGCTGTCGACTCAGGGTTAATTTTCCTCTCTCTCTTAAGTCTCCCTGTAGTCCCCTAATAAGAGGGGGGCCTCCTATATATTATCTCAAAAGAAAAGAATCCAGTCCTCCTAGTGGGAGTGGATCTAATCCACAACAGTGTGATAGGGAGAAGTTCATCACAATGTAAGTCTCCTGACACAGCTTACCCAATTGAGCCTTAAAGTCCTGTTCATCCTTTGAACTTTACTAGAACTCTGCAGCCTATAGGCAGAACTTTCATCTGATATTTAAACTCTTGGTTAGTAATTGTATCACTTCTGCCCCAAATCTGGCCTATTGTCTGAGCCAAAAATTATTGGGACACCTCACCCTTTTCAGTGGGGGTGGGAAAGGCTTCCACCCAGTCAGAGTATGAACTCACAAAAAACAAAAGTTATTTATAGCCCCGTGAGCATGGTAGTTCAGTGAAGTTTACTTCCAAGTCTTCAAAAAGTGCTCCTCCTATAGTTTGGATTCCTGGTGAAAGCTTTGGCCCCTAACAAGAATTGTTGTGAGCACAAACCTCATATTGTTTGCAGATCATCCAGGTGATGCTTGTGAGCTAGGGGTCATAGAAATGTTGACTCAGAACTGTCTCAAGTGCTGTATGTCCAACATATTTTCACGAAACTGTTTGATAAAGGCTGGGGCTAGAAACTCCGGGACGGCTATTCCAGCCATCGGAAAATCTCCACCATCCACCTGGGAGAAAATTTTCTTGTTCAGTCTTAAATCACTTACTTTCATGTTGGGAGTGTGTTGGCTCCCATTTTGTTAGCTAGTTGGCCAGGCAGAAGGGCAGCATTTAAACCTGGGACTGGATTTTCTTCTCGTTTCTTGCAGACAGCTAACCTGGCCTTTTTGTCAGCTCTCCGGTTGCCCTGAAAAACCACAGTGTTTCCCTTTTGATGACCTTGGCAATATATAATCACAACTTTCCTGGGAACCCACAGTGCATTTAAAAGTTCAAGAATTCCTTGCCCATACATCATGCCTTTTTTTTTCTCCTGAGTTAATGAGCCCCTTTTCCTTACATAAGGCCCTATGAACATGAAGGTAGTGAACGCATATTTTGAGTCTGTAAATATCCACACAGACTCCTGCTGTCAACTGAGGTGCTTGAATCGCAATAAGTTTTACTTTTGTGCTGAATTTCCCTGAGGCAGACATTCTGCCTCGACAGTAGAGTCCAGAGTGACCATTGCATATCCAGCAAAACATACCTCACCTTTTATAAAACTGCTTCCATCTGTGAAGTACTCTGCATCAGCGTCCTCGAGAGGCTGGTCTGTTAGGTCTGGTCTGCTGGAGAACACTTCATCCGTGACCTCAACACATTTGTGATCAGGTTTTCCAGGTTCAATGGGCAGCAAAGTTGCTGGGTTTAGAGTTCTGACGACCTCAACATAGATATGTGGGTTTTTACATAACATGTCCTGATATTTGACAAATTTTTCATTAGGCAACCAATAGTGTCCTTTATATTTTAACAATGTCAAAATTGAATGAGGAACTCTGACTACCAGTTCTTGTCCCATGGCCAGTTTATCAGCTTCCGATACCAGAAGAGCTGTGGCTGCAAGGGCTCAAAAATAGGTGGCCAGCCCTGGGCTATAGAGTCCAGCTGTTTGGACAAATAGGCCACTGGACAGTGCCATGTCCCCAGCATCTGAGTCAAAACTCCCACAGTTACTCCAGATAGATCATGGACATACTGAAAGAAAGGCTTTGTGAGGTCAGGGAACCATAATCAAGGTGCACAGGTGAGTGCTTATTTAATGTCCTCAAAGGCCTTTTGCTTAGTTGACCCCCATATAAGAGGATCCCATTTTCCCCCCTTTGTGGCTTCATAGAGGGCTTTTGTCATAACTGAAAGTTGGGGATCCATACATGTCTGAACCTAGTAGCCCCCAAGAATTCTCTAGTCTGATGGCAGGTTGAAGGGATTGGAATTGAGCAGATCTCTTGTTTCTTTTGAGGCCCAGTTGCTATTGTCTGTTCTGTTGCC